GAAACTCCCACGGTGCTCGGCGGTCCTGCAGCCAAATGCCCTCAGTACAGGAAGGGGAGAGAGGGAGGGAGGAGGGGAGGGGGGGGTAACAACAGAGGACAGTGAAGGGGAGTTTGATGTTTGGAACCCGAGACTTAAAGAGGCTGAATGAGCAACAATAACAGCAGGGGAAAACAGTGATTCTGACCTCCTCAACAGCTGACACCGAAAATACCAAGTCTCCAAAATGGAGGGAACACTTGCTGACAATGGACTCCCAGTGTCCCAGAAAGACGCTGTAAGACATTGAATTCGCGTACTTTTTCTGTACCAAAAAAAAAAAGCCGTAACTGCAAAATAACTAACCAAGGTGAGCAGTGTGTGGGGAACGATTTATTATTTTGAATAAACATGATGTAATGTTTTATTATTGTTATTAAAATGTTGTTATTTTATAATAAAAAAAAAATTATTGTTATTAAAATGTTGTTGTTTTATTTTAAAAAAACCATGCTGTGAAATGACCAGATTATATGGAAATTGTGACTAGCGCTCACCAGGCCATTAGTTTAATAGCAGAGATTTTGGATGTGGAAATATTGTAAACAAAACAGGAAGAATAAATCCTGCTGCCGTCTTACTCCTTTTATTGTTAAGAAATTATTTCACAGCACCCTGGTTATCAAGCTGAGACAACACGTCACCCTGGTTGAAAATTTTTTGTGACGCAAAAACAACAACGATAAGAAAAGCCGTCGAGGGGCCTCCGAATGAGCATGCGCGCAAAAAATGTAAAATGTCGACGAGAAAACACACCGACGGGAGATACTCCGCCTTCTCGGGCAGGTCCAGGTTTGTTCTGTGTTTGAACACCTGGAAATACCTGGTTGAAGTTGGAAGGAAGGAGGGGGCACCAAGGAGGGATAGGAGGCGGAGGAGGCGGAGGAGGAGGAGGAGGGAAATGAGGAGGAGCCTGTTTACAGCTCAGATTTGAACAAGAAGAAACTTGCGCAGCAGCCGGTGTTTGTGTTCTGACAGAAGGTGCAACAAGGCTCGGGAGGGTCTGAGGGAGGATGACGGTGATAAAGGACACGAGTGAAATACCTGAGGGCAAATACAATGAAGGAAATACAAACTAAAGAGTGAGGGGTGAGACAAGGACCCTAACCCTAAGGAGAAGAATCAATAGAAGTAGAAAAGATAAGTTAAAAAAAAAAAACTCAGAGGACATAAGAAGGTGAGGGAGCGAAGATCGTATGAGGAAACAATGTCGAAAAGAAATGCGCTACAATCCGGGGAAGAACACGGAGAGAATGAACCGAAGTAGGAAAAGAAATCAGGGGGCAGTTAAAAACCAAAAATGAGTGGTTTTTTTTTTTTACTAAAATAAACAAAACAATTTCTCCGGATGATATTTTTAGTTTTTGTCTTCATTATTCAATAATTATCACGTTGGTTTAGCACAAGAAACAATCATCATGTTTACAGCATTGTATATTCCCATTTAGTGGGAATAATGCTGTAAACATGGTTGTTTTTTTTTTTATGTGTCTGACGGTCCAATGAAAGTTCACGCACCGTCGGGAAAACTTGAGAATCTATTTATTCCAGCGACAGATGGTTAAAATGAATACAGTTTTTTAAAAAAATAGTTATAATTAATTCTTATTTTCTTATCTTTCCTCCAATTTTCTCAGCCCCC